GCCCCGCCCCGCGGGGCTTCTGGGAAGTGTAGTCTTGCGTCGGGTGGGCCGCGGAGGAGGGGAGCCGAGAGGGACACACTTCGGGCGCTTTGCGAGCGCCTGTTGCGCTTCCTCTTCCAGGGCGTGGGGGAAGGGCAGGCTGCTGTGTTTAAGGTGACACACCCACCGATATGTTCCTCTTCTGTCCCGTCCACCCCCCCACCTCCGCCTGCTCACCCCCGCGGCACGAACACTGGAGCAAGGCTCCCTCCCATGTCACCTCTGGGCAGGCAGCAGGCGTCCCGCGCCGCCCGGACGCCGAGGGCCTCGCTGCCGGCCAGGCCTTGTCACCCCCGGCTTTGGCCCCCGTCTCCTCACGGCACTGCCTGGCCAGGTCACCACCGGCAAGGGAGCTGACAGTGGCGAGTGGGCAAAGCCTGCCATGGCGGCCGGGCCCTAGGCTGCACCTCAGCTCTGCTGCGCAGGGAGGGCCGGAGGGCCTGGGGGGTGAGCCCCGAGGGCTTCCTGGGCATGGAGGTTTTTGAATAGCAGCACCGCAAGCGTTGTGTCCCCCCAGGCAGCAATCCCCTGCAGATGTGAGCAAGTGAGCTCTGGCCCCCAACGAGTCACCGCAGCCAGGCTGGCAGGGACGGCAGCGCCATGCTTGCTCTTTGAACTCCCCAGGCTTTCTGGAGCTCAGTATAGCCTTGGACGGGGTTTGCTTCCCAAGCAGCTATGCCAGGCTGCTTCTCCGGGAGGTGAGCTATCTAAATGGAGGTGTTCCCCAGCTGCTGGCTGCTGATAGCGCCAAAACAAGACATGAGGAGACGCGAGAGCAAGTTGTTAACACAAGTGATCCCTCCTGCTGGTGCTACATAAGGAGATAATGAGGGAATGGAGCTGGTGCTTACGTTATCTCCAGTGGCCGTCTGAAATGATACTTCACAAAAATGAAAGGGAATAATGTTCACAACTTCCAACCTAATTACGGTGGGCTGGCAGCACATTCATGCGGAGAGCTCAAGGCGGGTTACTGTCAGCACACGGGGTTTTTTAAGTTCTCTGGAAGCCATTCCAGAGAGTTCTCCTTTATTAAAAGCTGAACTTCTGAAGGACGAGGTACCCTCACTGGGTATTGCCAAGTACCAGAGTGACCCAGCCCCACAAATACACGGTCAAAAATGACCACTTCCTCCATCATCCCAGTTCCACCAAACAAACACCTGGCGTTTACCTCCGAAGGCCTTACCTAGTCACCCAAACAATTTACAATTAGAAAAAAAATCATAGAGAATGTATTGTGCTTGTACCTTCCAACACAAAGAGCATGTTTCATTAGTACACAAAAAGTAATTTATGCAGCTGACATTTAAATTATAAAGATTCAGATGATTAACGCATACAGAAAAAATCTGTTTGTGTGCTTTATCACAGGCTTAAAGAAAAAAATGGCTCCAGGCCTGGCCCTGTGACAGACTGAGCACTGCCACCTTCCAGTGACGGCAGCGGAGCTGTGCACATTGATTCCCTCTCAGTTACAGAAATTTGTCAGGCATAGAAAATATACATGTGTGTAAATGTATGCATTCCACAGCATAATCTTTTATCTAATCTTTCAAAGTCTAGGACAGGTTTGAAGAGGAAAAGGTGAAAATTATGAGACAGATTTTCATTCTTGCCTGCTACCAATTCTTTTTTTATATGTATGACCGTAAGGTAGCAGCACCGCCAGCTCCATAATCCTGCCAATGTGCCTTGTACTTGGGGATAAATCAGCAGTCTATGCCCATTCATTCCTTAGTCTTCCCTTCATAAGCAGCAGGAACGCAGTAAAAATGCAAATAGGGAAGCCTCTGTCCTCTGTGAAACTGCGTGGCAGCTATTGAGAATGGGCACCATTCAGGGCATTGGACGGTGACAATCCTGTGCTAACCCGGCCTGCATTTTGAAAGAATGTCAAAAGAATTTTTCCGTAGCATCGCTGGCCTCTGGAGCAATCTTCGCATGTGGAAAATAAGCACTTCTGTCATTGTTTAGTAGTACTTTGTAGTAAATAATAGGTAGGACCCTGGTGAAATAATTAGCATTTACTGCCAAAGCCGACGGAAATTTTGGTGTTTTGTTTACTTCTTTAGCCAAATGTTTTTATGAAAGCGATTGATAAATCATGACTGTAAAGTCAAAAGCATTTCTCCTTCCTATTCCCTACATTAATTTCACTAATAAATTATATTCAATAGAGGACTCTCTCTTTTATGGTGACTTGACCCTAATTAACATGAATGTTTTCGATGAATGACATTTGTAAGTATTCCAGCTATATGCAGAGTTATCATCATGACTGATTGCCCAAGCAGTTTCTGCAACAATAAACTTTCATTACAGAATCTTTGATAAAAATCACAATTCTCTGGCAAGCTAATAATTTATGCAAATTAAATGCATATTTATTTACAAGCCTTATACACCGTATCTGGCAAATGGGATAAGGAGGTTCTGTGTTATATCACTGAATACAGGTCATGCAAGTAACTAAACCTTTAAGCAGCCTCAAAGGAAAATTCAGGAAATACAGTGTCTGCCTTGTTAGCAGATACCCCGCAGAAGTACAGCAATGAGTCCTACCGGAGATCACGGCAATAACCACACTATTTTCACAGGCAACGCGAACAGCAGCATCACAGACAGGAAAGCAGAATTACTTTCAAATCTAGCACATACCTGAAGATCACAGTGATTACAAAGTTAAATCTATTTATAATGGGTCAGAAGAGTGGTTAATTGTCAGCAAGACGATATATCTGAACCCGTGCTACTTTGTTGATGAGAACCGAGCACTGCCAGGCAAAATACCAGGCATTCATTTCAGGCCCAGGATGCAAGATGGAAAATTTTCAGTTTGATCTTCACCCAGTGCTATTCCCTCTTTTCTTTGTCATTCACCCTCAGGAAATGGGTCATTCCCAGGTGAAAGCAATTATTTCTCAGAGGGACTTGCTTCTTTGGAAGAGCAATGACAGAAGTTTCCAGCTAAACAGAAACAGGAGGCTTGTGCAGCGTGCCAAAGACCAGGTCATGATAAACTAGGAGGTGCTCTATTTTGTCAAGAAGTTACAGTTACTGTCAGCCTTCAGCTACAACTCAGTGTGCTCTCCATGCAATGCATTATGGAGAAAGGATAGCTAAAATCTGGTGTTATCTCCATCAAATCCCTGGCAGAGCTGATCCTGCCCAGGCTCCAAGACTACCAGTTTTGCCTGACCTGGCCCTAAAAGCAGTCTACATTTCAGCCTTATGCTCGAGAAAGAGGAGGGAGAACACACAAGTGTGAGCTAGAGGGAAGATGGCAATATTCTCACAACTCATAATGAAGGCAACTTTTTTCTATTTAGATATGACAACCTAGTGTCTAAAAAGCGTGGGTAGGCCCCCAACTGGGTAGTACTTGTGATATCATAAGTACTATTCGTAGTACCAGTTGTCTACAAGGACTCAACAACAGTATGTACTGCACCGGACAGAGCAGCTTCGAGTTCCATGCTGTGTGGACTCTTGTATTTATCGTTCTTGTTAAACCGATTCTGCGCTTGCTTCCACACTGCTGCTGAACTGCTGCTGAATGTTTTGTTGCCCTTCACTGGAGCAGGTGTTATTAAAAGCCTGAGCACTAGCCACCACGCTTACTGCGGTATGCCAGAGGGGTGTTGGTCACAGGCCTCCTCGCATTCTTGTCCTCAGAGGCAGCGCACGGACAAGCACGGAGTTCTGGAAGGACAGGAATCACCACTCAGTAACTTCAGTTCAGCTTTCATAAACCTTTGGGTTAATTAGTAGTTAGCTGATGGTGGTTAGGAAACAGCATCTGGCTTATTTTAAGGACCTGGACTGGTCACTCTTGTCCTGGATACGTCCAACTGAATAACTTCCATATCCCTCTTCTACGGCCTTCCAATGAACTGCAAAATGAAAAACTGTTTTCCTTCAATGCTTTTACAGAGTCAGAGCTTGAACTGCTGCTATTGCAACAGGTTCTGCATCTCACACCACTAATAGATGCACTTTGTTGACATTGCTGTCATTCTTACACAGGAGACCAAATTTGGGCTGCTCAGAATGTGGTATGTGTGTTAGCAAAACACAAGCATATTAGGAAAACAACATGAAAAGGGAAATACTGGGCAGAGGTTCTAACACTAATTAAAACTATCCAAATAACCTGCTCAAAGCCTTTGCTGCTGCAAACTTAATGTTCCCAGTGTTTGTTCAGGTACAGCTTTGTCTGGTAAGAACAGCTGTCCTATGCAGGGACAATCTTGGCATCCAAGACAAGCTGCTCAATGGGTGGACTGGGTTTTTTTACCTATGCTTTCCTTTTATTTCTTGGCTCAAAATCTGGTTCTGAGGCCCTGTCTTGCAAGCAAATTAAATTGACTTCACATACAAACTCCTCTGCAAAATTAAGGCCCTACATTTTTTATTCTGAGTATCTCTGAGAGTTGATGGCAACACAACTGGCAAACAAAATGGATTTATCAGGACTGCCAGTGTCCAGCAACTGGCAATAGAAAATCAATCTTTGGGGCAGTAGACCATTAAAAAAGAGGAGAATGCAAGTGTTATTAGCTTCGATGTGTAACCTGATTACATGGAAGTCTCAATGGCAATTACTGTGAATATTTATCTGCTTTCTATAGTGCTCTGTCAAATGCAAATTGAAGGAATGGTACAATCCCATTACACTAAAAGATAAATGCCTCAAAATAAAATAGGTTGAGCAACTAACGCGCTCACTGCAGTATTGATTTGTATGTTCAAAGCATATGCACAGTCCCTGATCTCAGCAGCCGTTAAAGGTTTACTTAAATCTATTTGACATTCACATGTATTTAAGTGTCCCAATTTACTGTCTGGTCCTTAGTGAAATTCTCTCTGCAAATAGCTGGTTTAGTGGAGAAGAATGAACAGCCTTTTCCAGTACAGAAGAATTTCCAAGTCAAGGATGTAGATGGGTGGCAAAGGCAATGAATGCTTTTTACAGAGAACACATAGCAGTGATGTCTGGCTTGTGATTATGCTTAAATTTGGAAATATTGACAGGTTGACAGCCTGAATTTTTCAGATTTGAAGACATAGGAGAGAATCTGGTACCCAAATAAGAAGTGGTGGGAGTGGATTGATGGGCTGAAAAAAAAGAAAAACAAACAAAGCCACTCTATCCTCAGATTTTCTCCTGAGGGTTTTAACCTAGATGTCATTACAGTTTGAATAAACTAGATGAACCCTTCAAACTGGTTTGTTGCCCTGTCCTTTAGCAACTGAGCATAATACCCAATCTTCCAAAATGCACAAACACCCTTACCAGCAGTTGCCAGATGTTATAATAGTTTCTAGTTTTCTGATAGCTCAGAAGGTTTTTAGTCCTTTATACAGCTACACAGGTCTAA